CTCAGGATTCGTAATTTGATACATAGAATTTGGTGTGCAAACCAAAGGGCCCCACAGCTGCCCACACCCAGATTCCAGAGAGGGCCCCAGAATTGTGACTTCCCAGACCAGGTCTCCAGAATCTGCATTTTATCTGTAGTGTCTGCCATTACTTCTCTCATCCATCACCTGTTATTGTCGGCTCTTCAAACTTAAGCAGATGACTCATTGCCCATGTTTTTATTTTCTTGCAGAATTCATCTAAAGCAGCCCAAGCCCCATCTCCATGGGGGGCCAGTGGAAAGTAAGTTCATTTTTCCAAAGTAAAGGTGATAAATGAGACACTGCTTGAGCAGGGCACTGTGCTGCTTTGCATACAGTGCCCTGAGGGCCCCCCCCCACCACACGTGGTGGTGCCAACCTTTGTTTTCCTGTGCTCTCCCCTTCCAGGAGCACAGGGACCTCATCCCCCATGTCGCCCAGCCCCTCCCCAACCAGCTCCGTGGGATCTCAGGGGGGCCTCCCCCATGCCAATGCCTTGTCCCCTTCGACCATCATCAGCATCCCACAGCGCATCCACCAGATGGCCGCCAATCACGTCAGCATCACCAACAGCATTCTCCACAGCTACGACTACTGGGAGATGGCGGACAACCTGGCCAAGGAGAACAGAGGTGTGTGTGCCCCCGAGGAGTGTGCGCATGGTTCAGCCACAGCTCAGGGAGACAGCTTGACCCTTGGGCATCATCAAACAAGTTTCATCATTCACTGAAGAAGTCGTAGAAGCTGTCACCTACTGCATGAAACTTTTCCTGACCTCTTTCACTATGCCTTTATCTACCTTTATCTTCACTGTGGAAGATTAGAGGTAGAGGTAGAGATGATATAGATCCATGTGATGTAAATAGATGTAAATGCAGATACAGCTATGGATATATACACATATGTTTTTCCCTTTAGGCAGTAAGCATCTTGAAGATAACAGTTCTATTTTATTCTACTTTGCACAGTACCTAGAACACAGTTGGAGATCTGAAATATTGATTGATTAATTAACGAGTATAAATGTTACTAGCTATTTAAGTGATAGCTGCTTACAACTGAAAAGAGGATGTTTAACATATAGCAGTAAGCTATGTTACTTTTTAAATGCTTGTTTTTACTGATTCTAAAAGGAATTTATAAAGTACAGAAAACTATAGAGAAAACATTTTTATATCAACAGTAATCTTATCACCAAGATATAATTACTGTTCATATTCTACTGAAGTTTCTTTCAGTCTCCTCTAAAATGCATGATGTTTACCAAAATAAGATCATAGTATATATACAGTGTTATATCTGGTCTTTTTCATTTAACGTTCTATCAGGTTTTTCCCATGTCACTAACTAGTTCAAAAATACCCTGTATGATGGTTCTGTAATGTTGTCATAATAGTGGTTGTGCATTCATAAAGTTTCTCGAACCTTTCCCCTGTTGTTGGACATTTAAGTTACTTCCAATTTTTTCTACTTTAACGAATAACGTTAATTTATATAAATCATCATCATCTTTTTTACTATTTTCATAGGAGGGAGTTGTAGTAGAATTTTGGGGCCAACAGGTATAGATTCTTTTGATATGTATTGTTACATATCTTGATATATATTAACTTTTCTCCAATAAGATTGTACCAGTTTATTACTCTCCCTCCAGTAACGGGTGAGAGTACAAATCTGAGGTCACTTTTAAGCCATTAAATGCAAATTTTGTTCCCATGATAACGTAAGCCTCTAAAGACAAGACCAGGAAGTCCACGATAAGATGAGGAATTTATGGCACAGATATGCAAATGTCCTGAGTACATGAAATTGATAATAAAGCCAGAAAGTATGTGACATGCAGCCCAGAGGTGGTAACCCTGAAAATCCAATGGAAAGGCGGCATGGAACAGATTTTGAAAAGCAAATAGTAGTTGAATAGCTGAGACAGAGTGGGGCGGCTATCACGCGTGGACAAAACAGCAGGGACAAATGTATAAAATTTTACGTGGTCAGTTTGGGAGACTCTGAGCAGTACAGGCTCCAGCTGGCACTGCCAGCTCCCCACTAGGTATCCCCTACCAGAGGGCTCAGTGCCACACACCCAGTGTGAAGTCAGCATTGTTTCCCCAGCCGGTTCCTCCTTCCTTTTCTACTCTCAGATTCCTGAGGTGGCTGGGCCACTTTCCTAGCCACCTGGAACTGGAGTCTTCTCTAACCCCTCTCTGCCTTCCCAGCAGGACCTTATCCGGCACATATATAAGCTCCTTTGAAAAGCTCCCTTCGCTTCCTTTGAATAAGTGTTGCCCAGTGATCCAGTTATGGTGGCTTAGCAGCCACATGAATTGATTGGCCACTGAGCTATGGCCTCTGCCCTCCTATGCCTGGATGTTTCTCATCCTGTGCCTGGCAGGCCGCCTTGGCACCTCACAAATGATGAATGGAGGCAAACCAGAGGATGTCCAAGGACAAGGCGACTTTGGCAGAGATGTTTCCAAACCATCTCTGATCAGCCCCCAGGAGCCTGGACTCACACCAGGGACACAACACATGCCATAGCCGAGTCCCAGATAGGGGGCGACAGAGCCATCACCCACCTTCAGCGTGGGAAGCATTGCTGCATGAGGAGAATGCAGTCTGGGGAAGTCAGTTTTCTTTGCTGTTTGGTTTAAATTCATTTGAATTAAAACTGGCCAACCAGAATGACTATTTAGATATAGGTGAGTTCTCCACCTTTGGGTGTCATTCCATTCAGGTGACTGCCAAGGTCATGTGAGAGAACCGAGAATGCTTGATTTGCATAGACCACTAACGGGTTTTTGTCTTAAGTCACACAGGTCTCTCAGGTAGCATTCTTAGTATGTGCGGCACTCTAATGACTCTCTCTGTCCCCTAGAATTCTTCAATGACCTGGATCTTCTCATGGGGCCTGTAACCCTCCACAGCAGCATGGAGCACCTGGTCCAGTACTCCCAGCAAGGCCTGCACTGGCTGAGGAACAGCACCCACCTATCATAGGGACCTCACCCTTGAGCTGGACTGTGCTCCTGTCTCCACAGTCCAATCCATGTTTCGGGACACTGTGCTACTGAAATCTCCAGCCACAGCGTTCATCAAACTGCGGCGAACATTTTCTCAGCATCGAACAATGGTCTTTTCCCAGGGCACGTGTGTTTGTATGTGTGGGTGTAGAAGAAGCTGTCTGTGTATGTGTGTAAGACACACAGCTTCTTAGAACACATTTTCTTTGTCTAGTTTCCATAATCCCTGACTAGACAAGGTGATCAGTATTTTCTAATTAAAGAAAATATGCTTACACACATACACACACAAAATCACACACACACACACATACATACACACTTTCTATTTCAAAGCTAAACCATGACTTAGAACGTTCAACTAAAATCTCATGGGTTAGTTAACCAGGTGCAATGCAGCACACCAAAAGCTTGACTGCCAGTTAGGATGAGCCTAGTTCTTATATTATTAATTACGTTCAGTATTAATATACTATTTCCCAATTATTTTTTGATCATGTGTATTAATGGGTAATTGAATAATGAAAATAAGTCAGTTATTTTTGTGCTGGACACTTACTAGGTTGCATGTTACCAAATACCCTGCCTTTCATCAAATACCCGACCTTCCATCCAACTTTATTATCAGCTAAACACTTTGTAAGCAAATGGATCAACTCCCACTGGCCTGCCCTGCCCTGCCCCAAAATAGTATGATAAGGGCACTGAGATTTGGTAAGAATTCAGTGTCTTTGAAAGCGAACTAACATTAAAGCAATGACACTGCGTTCTGGAGTTGGGTTAGGATCTGAAAACTTCTGCACAATTAATGACAAGCCTGCCCAGCACATGTGTTTCTTTTTCCTGCCACTGTGACATGGTGGCTGTAGAGCCACATGGCATTTGTCGACCAATATTTTTCAAGTCTTTTCTTTCCACAATAGCTTTTGTTCAAATTTTCTTGGCCAAATTAGGACATTACCTAGAACGCCTCTTCACTAGGAGTCTGTATTTGTTGCTTATCAGGCTGAGAACTATTTGCTATCACGATACTGCCTAATTCTCTCACTCTTCATGCATATTTGCCACTTTAACTCATTTTGAACTGGGGGCTACGTTTATGGCTTTGATTAGCAAATTGCTTACTGAGCAGGGCAAGTGATTCCTGCGGTGGTTGCAGTGCTGTTTGGGTGGCAGTGACAAACCATCACGCCGACATCCTGTGCATCTATTTTTATGTCTTGCCTTCGATTCTTTTTTTTTAATTAAGTTTACATTTTAGTTTTTTGATATCTTGCTTACAGTTTTTGTCTGAAAGTTGTTTCTTTTATAGTCTTTTGCCATGCCCTAGATTTAGTTTTGTTAAATATATTTGGATTTTTTTTAAAAAAAAATTGGTTAAAAAGAAAATCTGAAAAAAGAAAAGATACACCTTGCCACACTTTAAAAACAAAAATAATGTCCTCGAGGCCTCTCACTTGACAAAATTCTACCAGGACACTCTGAGAAAGACAGATGATCTGATCTGTGGAGCAATCTGTTTTTAAGGTGATGGTGGTATAAAACATTGATAATAGATACTGATGTATGCTCTCACTGACAGTCTGATTGGCTTGGTAACATCTTTGTTAACCTGATCTATAGGTGAGAAATAAGATTGCTGTAGTTTCCTAGCTCTAAGCGCTGATTCAAAACTATACAAATGATTGAACAGCTTTGGTGGCCTGAAATTAATTTAAAATGAGCAAGTGAAGGGTTTTTCTTTTTTGAAATTTGCATATGGCTTTGGCCTTCAAGCATCTTGAACTTTTAACAGAATTTCCAATGTGCATTTATCCAACTGAGGTGCTTCTCACATCCCTTTCACCAGTTGCTGTCAGCAGAGTTCATGATCCCATTATTTGATGTTGCAGATTTGAGTCTAACTTAAATCGTGAACAGTTTTCTTGGAGGACCAAGACTTAGTTCTGCTTACTCTTGCTGATGAGACATTCAAACTCTCACATAAAGGGATGACCCTCAGGATCCGTCATACGTCCCCAGGGTGTTTTGCTGTCCTTTAAAGCTGCAGGCCTTGTGTGGTATCCACGTGATGTGCCATCTTGAGAAACCCCATCTAAATGCACAGTAGCCTCTGGCTGACTGTACCAGTGACATTTTCTCAGCGCTTTGGTGACCCATGTCTCCCAACAAAATGACACTGGTCATTTTGGGGATGGTCAGAGCATGCATTTCCTCTCACCATCTTTCATCTCATCAGTAGAGCGCATTGGGGCAGAAGTTTTTGTTTACTTGGATGCAGATGATATAGGTAAGGAACTGTCTTCCATTGTTGCTTGTGAAAGTAATTCATAACTGTCCCTTTTATTTAATTTTGTTCAAAGTAGACATGTCTCTCGTGTTTTCTGGTTATAAATGCAATACATGCTCATTGTAAAAATTCAGACAATACAGAAATGTAGAAAGTAGAAAGTAGTAAGTCCCACACCCTAGAGACAACCACTGCTCAGATTGGTGTATATCCTTCTAGAAGTTCTTCCATTTCAATATATGTCTGTTATCATTTCTTTCTATTTGAAAACATATTATTTCCTCAGAAGTTCAACACAAGTTCACCTGACCTTATCCTTCCATGACCTGAACAGATGCCATCTTTATCACAACATTAGAGATACCTTTCAAAGAAAGTAACCCAAATACATTCCTGATTTAAAAAAAAATGGAATTTGTTACTACTCTACACAGATCAGACTTATGTGCAGAATTGTGCCTGGAAAAGAGAGGTTTGGCCAAACAGATATGTCTGGATATTTCCACATTGCAAATGGAAACTCGGACCCACTATCTAAAGAGGAATGTACTAGAAAAACAGTCTGAAGAGTTGACAAATTGTGTACTAGATTGAACACATGGAACGCAATGCGGCGAGACTTCCTGAACTAAAACTCATCCTGGTGTGTACAGCAATGGTGTGTATATTATATAACAGTGAAGTGTGCGTTCCTGACATCCCATACATCATGTACACAGTTTGAAGAAATGCATACATTTAAAAATATATATGTACAATACGGCTACCATAAAACTGTAGTATGCCTGAAGGCTATTACTCGTGCCTAATAGTGAGTGTAAGTCACTGCGTGTTCGCTTCACCTTGGAAGTGCAGTAATTGTTATAAAATTGATCAGTGCAGCCAACATTATTTATCACATCTTTGAAACTGTGCAGTAGTATATACATATATATTTTTAAATAACATTTTTCACAGTTTTCCAGAGTTACTGTTGAAATCTGTATCACCAAAAAAAAAAAAGCAAGATTTTTTTTAATAATGTAAACACTCTTCAGACCCAGTAATCTGTGTGATTTCCTGTTTGTGGATACCCGAGAGACTTTAGCAGTCACCAGCCTTAATGCATGTACAGGATATTATTGTGACTTAATTTATCTGCAGTTCTTAATCCATGTGAAATTGGAATTTATAAGCTGACTTGGATTAAATATGTCTACCTTCCTAAGGTTGCAAACGTTACATTAAATGATTTATGTTGTAAATGAGAGAAACCGAGTTGTACGTAAAAAACATCCACCAATTTTTACAAAGAAATATTTTTACAAAGAAACTTCAGAATCAAAAGACATTCAAGTAAGTATTCTGGCCCCCAGTTCATATCTCTTTGGAAGGGACCTTGTTGTTTCATGATTTTTTTTAACATAGCTCCAAGGATTATCATTACCAAGTCTGATATTTTTCATGGGAAGAAAAAAAGTATGTTTTTCTTCATTATAACTATACTACTTGTCTTTCCCATTTCCCAGCCCACATACACACATATGCATGTGTGTGTGTGCGAGACTACACCCAGCAGCCCAGCAAACAGTGACTAGGAGGTGTGAGGAGTTCACGCCAATGACTGCACAGATGCCTGTCCAACCAGTGGCCCTGGGACACTGTTCTACTCGACATTCCTTAATGACACAAGTTAGTTCCCTGACTTGTGTGTGCCAGGTTTTCCCAACCCAAACAAACATGGTGGAATGTTTGCAATATTTGGTATATGAAAATAAGAGAATTTTCAACTAACAGGCGGAAATACTAGACCAGAGGGTTTTCTTGTTAACTTCATTTTTAATCTTATCTTCCTCCTTTTTCATTCCTCTCCTCCCCAACTAAACTAAAGCAGGAGGCAGAAGCAGCAATAGAAACAAACCAATTACTTCACTTTACCCAGCCCATATCCTTAGATTCAAAAATGCCTTGCATTAAGCAGAATCCTACTTCCATGTCATCATGGAGGCCGCCTCTCCCCAAAGATGGCTGGGACCAGGTCTTGGCTAAACTTACTCCAGCAACCACCCTTTTGATGCTCATTCCCAGATGGTCTGGGCTAAGAAATGTCCAGCAGTCTTTCAACTATCTTTCTCTTATGCAGTTTTGCCTACTACTCAGCTGAAGTCTGTTCTTATCAGAATCCTCTTTTTTAAGAAGTAACACATTTCTGATGAAACCTGGATCAACTGGAGACTTTTTTTTAATGAAGGAAAAAAGCAACAACCACATGAACTGCGTTTCCAGCAATTTGGAGCCAGCATTTATTTCTTCATTTTCACATTCCCAGCAGAGCATAACATTTCCATATCACAGCTTCCTGACAAATAGCGCAAGAGACGTTAAGTCTTGAGATTTGTATTCTCTTTGCCCAAACTAAAGGATTCTATATTTGTCATCAGAGGTCACTTCGTTTGCTTGGCATAAGAAAATTATAAAACTCTTGTTCTCAAACTAATTACATCTGACCATGGGTTTGGTTTTTATTATTTAATTGGCATTCTAGGGCAGCAGGGGCTAAATTTTTGGGTTGGCTGCAGGGGGATTTAGATTCACAGCTCTTACACTAATGGGAATCAGGGGGAAAAAATCCCCATGCATTTCTTTGAAAATTCACTTCTTACAGCCAATTTTAAACACGCTGATCTGAGGGATAAATTCACGGTACTTACTGCAAGTCAACACAAGGATCAGCATTTATCTTTAGGTATCAAGAAGTGATGATGAGGCCTGAAAAGCTGAACCAAGGACTTGTTTGCTCATCAGAGAATATTGCTACCCAAATAAGTTGTAAAATAAAGAGAAAGCAATGTTTAGGATTTTCAAACAATGCTGTTTGGTTAGAAAAATAATTACAAAATTCTAGTTTCCATATTGTGCTGCAACCCTTTTTTTAGTTCTCTTAAAACAAAACTGGTTTTTTCCCAGTATTTACCATCTCTTTATTTTGAGATGCCCAGATGAACAAAGAGAGGACACTTAACACAGCATTCTGCTTACAGTACCCAAAGGTCAGCATTCTTTCCCAGTAGCCATTGCGTCCAAGCCTCCGATGTGTGCCATCTTCCATGAGACTTTTTAAAGAATATTCTTTGAGTCATCTCTGTTACCCTCATCCTACAGCGTTAGCAATCACAAAGCCTAAAGTATGAGGCACTGATCCTTAGGAATAGACACTTTTGCAGCCTCACCTTCTAAGTTCTCTAAATCAGATTTAGTATGTTGACCTTTTGGAAGAACAGCCATTAGAGGCAGTGGGGGCTTCAAGGAAACAAAGATTCAATATTAGAGCTCGTTGGAGATGAGAATTAAGGGAAATGATTGGGGCACCCAAACACGCTCCATTGCCTGCTGCACCTGACCCTTGAATAAAATTCTCTATGCCTCAGTTTCCTCCATGTGAAGTAACTCAAACATCTGACTACCTCGCTGAGAGAGCACAAGGATCAGCAGATTGGGGCAAGCATCTTGAGACCCTGTTTGTCACAGTTAAGCATCACTGTCAGAAGAGAGGCAACGGAAAGACACTGCATCTGCAGGTACCAATATGCAGAGGTGTGTGGCATAGGAGATGGCACTCTAGCCCAGCCCTGACGTTCTAGAGGACTAAGAGGATGACAGCAAGGTAGACACAGGCCCCTCTGTGGGACAAGAGGGCGACAGGGAGCTCCTCAGCCTTTGTTGTTACCACTTCGAGCCTGTCCTGCCTGTAGGCAGAGCTCTAATAGGCCAACGAGGGGCCGGGGGGTAGCGAGTAGCAGGCTTCCAAGTACTCCTATGTTTCTGGTACAATCCCACCGCCCTTTTTCTCATCCAGTCCTGGCCTTCAGGAATCAGGGGCGTCCAGGTGGAAAGGGAAAGAAGGACTATAGCGTCAAAGCCTCCAATGTGTGCCGGCTACTATGAGAAAATAACTTGCCTGTTGGATGCTATGTTTCTGGCACTCTGGTATGGCAGCCCCATTTCCTGCGCCCACGTAGTCTCGTCACATGGGTCTTGTGCCTCTGATGGTAACTTTTTGGTTTGGGGCCCAGGGGTGGAGGACAGCTGCCCCGGGAGGTTTGTCCCTGAGGAAGGTGATCTGTCATAAGGGACCTGGGTACATCATGAACCCCAGGAAAGAGGAAACCTCTCTTTAGGAAATGGATGTTTTTCTCTCGTGGGTTAGGTGGTTGCCTCTACATAATCTCTTCATGGTAGGCTAAACCTTAACCAGTGTACGAGGTGAGAGAAATCAGTCAGCCCCAACTAGAGACCGAACATTGAGCCCCAGACATCTGACCTGAGATCTGAATGTTTCATACAAGGTCCTAAATGGTGAATTGAAGTTTTTAGCTTTTATCTAAAATCTTATTATTTAAACACAGGGTTTCCTTGTGCCCCTAAATCAGTGCTTTGAGCTTAACCAAAATAATCATGAAATACTCATTCAGAAGGAACTCTGCATTTCATACTCCCTGGAAATGCTTTTTCTAGTCTTTCTTCAGAACAAGAGAGCAGAGCCTGAAAGATCGAGCCTGATTCAAGGCCAAACCAATTCCAGCACCCTTTCTACAGGAGCAAGACACCTTATCTGGTGTGAATCCCAAATATTTAGGTAAAGCTTTCCAGAGTGACAGCACGAGGTTGAATAGCATGAGGAGGCGTAGATGTACTCCAGTCTGTCGGATCAAGTTTAAAGTCCCTCCAACTTAGAGCAGGAATTTAAAATTCCACCACTTTCTTATGTCGTCTAGGATGTTTACTCATGGAGCTGGCAACTCTAATTCAATATTCTGACATCAAAGGCCTTGTGTGACACATCAAACACCATTTCAAATTCTGCGTCTCGGTCTTAGGGAAACCATCAGCAACTTGGGTCCATGCTTATCTCTAGTGATCCAGTTTCAGCAGCCACAAAAACAAATCACAGGGCCTTCATCTTCTCTTATAGGAATTGGTCTTAGAATTGTTTCCAGAATCGAAGAAGATTTTAAATAGGCCAATTCTGTACAGTAATTTATGCTGTAAAATGGTATATATTGTAGCATTTATTAAAGTGCTGTATAAGCTTCAATGCCATTTTCATTTTTGTCTAACTATTCAATATTAAAATAGCTGAATATTCATTTGGGGCTGCTTGTTGGAGCATTTGGATTTGGTTATAGAGAAAGTCCAGAAGACGTGGATAGTCACTGTTTCGATCTTCTGCTAAGCATCCACATTACAGACTACTGCTGCTGATGAAACCACGTGGTCTTATCTGTGCTTTTCAGTATGTGAGAAAAATCTTAACACAAGCTGTTAATGAAGACCAGTGGCTTCCTTCAGCTTTTCTTCTCAAAATTCACAAACACTTTTTCCAAGGAAATTCCAGTAGATTCCCACTAAGCACCCCAATCTCTTACTCCTGTGGGGTAGAGGATGTCTTCTCCCAGGCTGCTTCTGAGTCCTCTGCAAGCCTGAGACCCACAGCTTCACTTTGGCGGTGGCTCATGTCTGCATAAGGAAGTATAAATGTTAAATCCCCTTTTTCTGTCTCCCTCTCCTATAAGAATAAAATTGCTCCCACACGGCCATATTTATCATATTGCAAACAAAACTCCACAGTCAAATCGTGACTAAACCAATAGTGAATTATATTGGCAAGGCGTCAGGAAAAAGTAGAGTACATCTGATACTAAGGATTGGTCTAGGGGGATCTTAGGTTTTGAGTTTAAATTTACATTAAAGAGATGATAGAATCATTGACCATTTATTTTACCTTTTGGAGATTTTGCTGTGTCTATAAGTCACATGAAACTCTTGCAGCACAAGTTCTAGCCTGTACTGTACTGTAACAGAATGACCCTTAAGGATTTGTAAGAATAAGGACTTTTCTGTTTAAAGGTGAATATTCATACATCAGGGAAATTACTTTTTAATGTCTTAATAGACCTTGAAATCAACATCACTCGGTCTCAAAAACGTCCTAATGTCTCTTCTTAGAACTTCTGAGTAAAATGTTCTTCCTTGATGTTACATTATTTTGTTTTAAAAATAATCAACTAGTCACAATCTACCTTTTCATCTACAGTAGTATGAACCCACCCAAATTACTAAAAGAAAGCATTTTAAAGAAAGGAGGACCAAACTAAGAACATTCTTGGCAGGAAATGTTAGGTGTCACTTTAGAGTGAAAAAGAAATCAAACAACCTGTGACAGAGCCTGGAATATTC